GAATTGTGGGGCCTGCCATGCCTCCTTCTGTGTGTTCTAGACCGGTAACAAAATGTAATCGAAATGTGGAAAATACTATTTAATTGCAAATTAAATTCAGTCCAATTTATGAACAAAATTGAAGCAAACAGTTTGACAATTGATGGGTATCTAGAATTGCTGCAAATCAACAATTGTGTATGAATTATTATTAAAGATAGTGTCGACTATTTATCGTAATGAAAAAAACAAACAAATATTTCTTCAGTCTCTATTTTATTTGGAAGTTTCGTTTTCGGGAGGGTTTGGCACAAAACTGGCGTTGATTTATAATGCGCCTGCATCTTTTTTGTGTATTTGCTGGGCCAACCAATTTATATAGATATAAATTGGCGGCCATTATCCACATACTCGTACACTACACGCCATCCATTTTTCACTTAATTCGCAGCCACTATTCGCAGCCACTATTCTGCATCCCCTATCCTCCGCTCCCTCGACCCCCTCCTTGCACTGCCTGCCTGCAGATTGCACACAAGCCCAGAGTTGCCCCAAATGCGGCAACATGCTCTTAATTGCACATTTAATGCCACAATCATTACAGCAGACATTGCTGCAACAATATACGTTAGATTGGGTCGATCAGGCCAATCTGCGTCTGTTGACCCGTACAATTAATACCCCTGTCTATTCGTCGTCCTCTATCTGTCTGTCTATCTGTCTGACTGACTGTTCAGCTGCTCAGTCCGTAAATTGCTATTGTTTGGTGTAATTTTAGGGTCCTGCACCTGTTCGTAGATTAATTTCAAAATAATTGCGCAATTATATTATTGAATATGCTCTTTAATTCAGTTGATCCACCCAGAGTCATTTGAGTCTGGGCGAGGGTGGGCGAGAAAGTAGGTGCTACTTACATATATTCTATATATTCTTGATAACATTATGCGAGTCAAGCTAATTATTTTAATAGTGCCAATCAAGCCAATTTGCAGAGCAATAAAGAGTGGGAGTAAGTGAAAGGAAAACCCCCGACAATGTCTTTGTGCAACAGTTGAAAAGCGTGTCTGTGTCTGTGCCTTCCCTGTGCCTGTGTGTGCGTGTCCGTGCGTGCAAATAATTGCATACTTTTTTGCATAAGCAGACAAGCAAACTGAAAAACTGGGGAACACTATATGCCCACGCACTTAAAGTAATTACGCCATGAGTTTGTGCCCCGTTCTTGTCTTGTTGTTGCCATTGTTGCTGCCGCTGTCCGCAGTCGCTGCTGGCCATTCACCCAAGGACGTCAAGGCGCTGCTGGGCGAGTGCCCCTAAGACTTGTCTAAGCGTCTACAAGAAAGATAAAAAGAAAAACCCTAAACGGAAATTGATTTTGCCGCTGCTGCTGTTCTTCTTATACTCTGGCAAAAGGGGGCATGATAATCTATTTATGTGCTTTGTTGCACAAGCCACGCAAACTGAAAATATAAAATACATAATCATAAACCGTGTACTATTCCTTTCTATGGCTATGGCTTTGCGTAAAATACGCTTTTCTTATCTAGTATGCAAAGTGCAGGCAGATATAAAAAGACTGCCGAAAATAGTTATCATTATTGACCTCTAATGGTGGCTGATCGTTAATCTACTTATATCTCATTCAACTCAAAGCTTCAATCCGATTTCAAATGCCAGCCAATAACATGGCTTTTTACCAAATTTTGTCTGTCCTTTCTCCCAAATTCTATTCGGTACATCAGTTTAAGGCTTCGAGCCCGTCCCATGTATTGCTAATGCCACAATATTGCCATTCTTGGGACCTTAATAATGCCTTTAATAAAACATATTGATATACTTATTATAGAAATGACTGCTAGAGAATGAAGTTAAAATTGCCAGCCACACAGCATAAGTCGACCAATCAGTTGAACAGATATTTAATTCGACCTTAATTAAAAATAAATGCATAACTTAACTTACTATAGTACGTCGAACAAAAAAATCCAATTGGTTTTTCATTTTGCTAGTTATAGTGAAATCCAATTACCCATCAACAAGCGACTGCATGTTATCTGAGAATTAAACGTCACAACGAATTATAAAAAAAAACTCATTTCCGCTATCTGCTTTGAATAATAAATTAAATGCGAAATTGCCAAGAATCATGCATTATTTTAGTTTGTTCCAACTTCAATTTTTGTTTTAATTAAAATGCAAATAAATGTAATCATATCCTTTCTTCATGACGGGGCATTAGTACGATATTTATTAAACTGGGAGGGAGAGTAGGGATTAAAACGGATAAAGCGATTTAGATTGTTCTCTGTCCTCCCTTTCTTCCAGTTCCCCCCTTTGGGCGTTAAAAGCTTGCACTCCAAAAACAACATACTTTTCACTATTCAGTACAGGGTAAGAAAAAGGAAAAAAACGCTGCAGCTATTATGGTATTTTATAAAGAAATCGGCAAGATTCATTATTTTAAAAATAATTAGGCAAGTTTTGCAAGAAATGCTGTACAATATGATTTATATTCCTCTCTGGAGGAATATAATTAAATGAACCAAGCTTTTGGTTGATTATTTTTCTCATTTCTACCATTCTTGGTCACTCCGTTTATTAGTAACTCAAACTACAATTTCTGGCAGTAGAAAAGAAACTAAGCTAGAACATATTATTGATATTAGAATATACAACGGTGCTTCCACATCCGCCAAACACAAGCAATTTCCGTTTACTTATCCAGACTAGTGCAGCCCATAATTTCTTAGAGCTCCCATATCTGCATAGTTACGTGGCACTTTCTTATGCATTTTAGTTACAATTTAAATAAAAGCATATCAAAGTCTAATTTGCATTTTGTGGCAAAAATAACAATATAATGTTCTCGCTCTAATTGTATTTTTGCTGGATATGATACTTTTTTGAGAGAATCCATTATTGTTGGCAATAATAATTTGAAAACTATTTCACCAGAACTCATCTCATTATTATATGCTTTCAAAGGAGTTAGGTTAAGTTTAAGGACACCGCAGGAAATACATACATATATCTAAATGAGTTGAGCTGTGCTTTGAAAGTGTGTTTAAAGTTCGGCGTCGAACAGAACTGTATTTGTTTGTTCTCCCTACTATCCATTTTTAACTTCTTGACCGCTTAGCAAATTTAAAGGACTCGCACAAAAGAGCGGCATTGCTGCAGCTTCGACTGCCAACGGCCTGGCCAACATTTTCAACATCGATTTTTATTTGATTTCGCTACTTTGCTTCCTTCTTTTTTGCCCCTTTTTATTGGGTAAGAAAACAACTATAAATCTATATATATATATAAATGTATATATACATATATATCTATATATAAAAGGAATGACAAGCGCACGATAAAAAGGCAGTGAAGGCTGCGCCAAGAAATTGACAAGTTTCTACTTGAGTGTGCAGTCAATGGGCGTCAGTGTGTGTGTGTGTGTGTGTGTGTGTGGGTGTGGCTGTGACTGTGGCAGACAAGCAGCCAACTAAACGAGCAAGTGTAATGTGTGTGTGTGTGTGTGTATAAATATATATGTATGTGTGTATGTCTGTCATTGCAATTTGCTCGCGGTCATTGACTGCAAGTCGCGCTGCATTTTCTCTTGGACCTCTCGTCCTCCTTTCTAGCTCGCACGAAACGTGCGCTGGGACCTTGGAAGGGAAGAGGACACCGGTCTCTTGGCGCTGACAATTGTCAATGGCAACAAAATATTCAAAGCAACTTCAATTTTATATGAAATTGTAGGCAAATTCCAAGAAGCCGTCTCCCAAACACCCACGACACTCTAAAAGCTTACACTCGAGCGCACACACAGACACACACTACTCGTACCCGCAAGAGTATGGAGTCAGGAGTACGGAGTAGAGAGAGGATGGTTCATACATGGCCATTGATTTTGGTCAATGGCCTGTGCCAGCGGCAAACTGGGACCAAATGTCGAGTCGCGTTAGTCTGATAGTCTGCTTTAAATATCGATATCGACTGTAGTCAAAAGCGTTGTAAAGTAAAGCGAGTAAGCCCAAACAAACTGTTTCACAATGCAAGAACAACGAGTCATACTCGTAGAATAACTCACAGTTTCCCACTTTTCGAGCTGAAGTTTCTAAACGAGAGGTAAGCCGATGACCGTTGGAATGATTATACGACTGACATGATTCAATAAAAGTTTGGCCACCTTGGACTGCCAATAGTGGGTACTTAACTTTGTTTTACTCGCCATTTTCTAGCTTGAGCTGTTCGTAGCTGTTTTTAAGCCATTTTCGACTGTTTCCTAGTTCGATAACAGAAAACGGTAACCACTTTCTAGCCATTTTTTAAAATCCAAATTTACGTTAGCCAACAATTATTAATAAATAATTATAACGGCTCCTCTCACCAATCTAAAAAGGATTAACTCAAATTGAATCACACCAATACAACCATTGAGTTTCACTTCTATCGCATCTCACAGAGACACACTCTTTTAATTCCCCTCTCCCACCACGCCACAAAATTTCGGTACTACTGTCCACTTTATAAAAGCTTCATAAGTCCAACCAATCCACACGTAATAATATACTTCTCTCTACCGATGTTTTGAAAATAACTTTCCTTCGAATTAATTGAATTAGATGAAATTGATAGATGAAAATAAAAATAGAGAACTATATGTAATAATTATGTAGCTTTTGAGTTTTGCACAGTACAGTACAGTACAGAACAGGGATATAAAAAATACACTTACAATTGGACTTTTTCAAAGATGTTAGTTATAGCGATAGTTGTAATAATAAGGTGTTTTATGATATGATATCAAATATAAATGAAAGGCACAATTGATTTCTTAGATAACCGTTGCTTAAAAGTGTTGCTAAGTTTGCAGTTTCGAGCTCATTCTGACTGTTTCCGACTTCATGTCACGAATCATGTTGTGTCATTATCATTTTATTTCTTTGATTGCCTGTGTGATAATTTCAAAATACATCGAATAAGTGTGCCAGTTAATTTGAGTTCAATGCCAGATTCTCCAGATCCTCGCATTACTCGTCCTCAGTGGAGCTACTATCGGAGTCGTCTGAGTCCTCCTCATCGTCCGATTCACTATCGCTGTCGTCTGACTCATCATCGCTGTCGTCCGACTCATCATCGCTATCGTCCGACTCGTCATCGCTATCGTCTGACCCTTCATCGGGGTCTTCGTCATCCTTGTTCACCCCAAGTTCGTGCTGTTTCCCTTTTCGGCCAACGTCTCTGTTGTTTGGCTTCCTGTCGTACCAGTTCAACTCGGACTCAATATCGGAATAGTCGGAGTCGGCGTTCTTTTTTGGCACTGGCTCGTACTCCTCCGGTGGAAATATTAAAACATCAAAATCTGTTGAGTGACAGATAAGTAGAAGATTTTACGAATCTTTGATTTGATTTAAATGTACAAGAAAACCCAACAAAATGTTCCATCATCTAATCAATCGATTTCCTAGACTTATCGAAATTTCTACCCTAATATTCTTCTGCGCAGCTATAAAAAATTCATAGTAGGCATAGTTGCTTCGTCATTGAACAGAAAGCATATTCTTTAAACGTCTAGACTTTGCGATGTCAGTTCCTGAAAAAAAATCTACTGCCAACATGTCTAAGCCACCATCCAAACCGAAATCTGGTATTGGCAGTGTGAAGGAATACAATGTGCGCTTAGCAAAGACTGGGATAGTCCATCATGGCATGGGTTTCAACGCCAACCTTAATGTGAACTTCGACAAATGGGATGAGGTCACTATTCAGAGGGAGAATAATTGGGAGCAATCGCGTCCCAAGGAGGAGGAGCAGCCCAGGTACGGCCCAGGCACGGCTTACAACGGGGGACGCAAGAGGTTCCGCAAAACCAGTCCCCCGAAAAAATATCGAGCCAAGGATCAGCCATGGATACTGACTGTGGGCGGCAAGCAGGGCAGGCAGTACAAAGGCAATCGCGAAGAAGAGCGTGGAAACTTGTTCCTCTTCTTGCAGGCCAAGGATGGATGGATCGACGCCTATCCGATTAAGGACTGGTACAACTTTCAACGCATTCCAACCCACAAGACGCTCTCTGCGGAGGAGGTTGAGGAGATATTTGCACGGCGCAAGAGGGGCGGCCACGATACTGATAGCTATTATTTTTCGCAAATGTTACGGAAGCGATTGCGTGGCAGCGACGAGGAAGAGGAGGGGGACCAGGAGGAGGAAGAGGGGGAGGATAGACGAAATCCTCATCAGAACGGTCCACCGGAGGAGTACGAGCCAGTGCCAAAAAAGAACGCCGACTCCGACTATTCCGATATTGAGTCCGAGTTGAACTGGTACGACAGGAAGCCAAACAACAGAGACGTTGGCCGAAAAGGGAAACAGCACGAACTTGGGGTGAACAAGGATGACGAAGACCCCGATGAAGGGTCAGACGATAGCGATGACGAGTCGGACGATAGCGATGATGAGTCGGACGACAGCGATGATGAGTCAGACGACAGCGATAGTGAATCGGACGATGAGGAGGACTCAGACGACTCCGATAGTAGCTCCACTGAGGACGAGTAATGCGAGGATCTGGAGAATCTGGCATTGAACTCAAATTAACTGGCACACTTATTCGATGTATTTTGAAATTATCACACAGGCAATCAAAGAAATAAAATGATAATGACACAACATGATTCGTGACATGAAGTCGGAAACAGTCAGAATGAGCTCGAAACTGCAAACTTAGCAACACTTTTAAGCAACGGTTATCTAAGAAATCAATTGTGCCTTTCATTTATATTTGATATCATATCATAAAACACCTTATTATTACAACTATCGCTATAACTAACATCTTTGAAAAAGTCCAATTGTAAGTGTATTTTTTATATCCCTGTTCTGTACTGTACTGTACTGTGCAAAACTCAAAAGCTACATAATTATTACATATAGTTCTCTATTTTTATTTTCATCTATCAATTTCATCTAATTCAATTAATTCGAAGGAAAGTTATTTTCAAAACATCGGTAGAGAGAAGTATATTATTACGTGTGGATTGGTTGGACTTATGAAGCTTTTATAAAGTGGACAGTAGTACCGAAATTTTGTGGCGTGGTGGGAGAGGGGAATTAAAAGAGTGTGTGTCTCTGTGAGATGCGATAGAAGCGAAACTCAATGGTTGTATTGGTGTGATTCAATTTGAGTTAATCCTTTTTAGATTGGTGAGAGGAGCCGTTATAATTATTAATTAATAATTGTTGGCTAACGTAAATTTAAAAAATACCTAGAAAGTGGTTACCGTTTTCTGTTATCGAACTAGAAAACAGGCGAAAATGGCTTGCACGCAGCTCAAACTATAAAATGGCGCGTAAAACAATTATATTAACACCGCCGTCACCGATGGTTGCCGATCCAGTAGAAACACAAGAAACAGCCATTCTTTAAACCATAACTTACCAGGTTGTCATAAAGAAACAGAAGGCAAATCAACTGCTGACGATGGTGTGTTTATTTTAATGTACCATCGTGCGGCGATGTGTTGTGGAGAACACCAACTTCGTTAATATTTTAGATTATACCGTAAGTTTCACGCACGTATCTTAATAACACAGTTATTTTACCGTGCATTTGGTTTCGTCACAGAAAAGGTTGCCGATCCGGCATTAACAAGAAATTTAACTTTAAGCAGTATGTAAAAGAAGTATCTAAATTCCAAGTTTGACTAATGTAGGCCAAGCCGTCTCCAAAATCCAGGCGTTCATACAGACAGACGAACGAACGAACGGATGAACGGACATGTCATCAATTTGTCTCTTCATGCTGATTAAAATTATATATAAATTCTTTATGGGGTCGAATTTGCTCCCTTCTCCCTACCTTTTTACCATTTAGGTACAGGAAAAATTCAAAATCGTGTCATTTAATTACCGTTTGCCCTGGAAAAAGGGGCATAATCGAACTGACGGTGACGATTGTTGTAAATAATTAAATTAAAATCTGCTAGCTCGCTACTTCCCCAGTTGCCTATTTTCAATTGAAATTGAATAATGCGCTCGCAATGTGTTTGCCAGCGGTTTTCAGTCTACCTTTCATGCTATCTGACACACGTGTTGATTTGGAGTTTGGCACTCTCCCTGGAAACACACACACACTTGTTACCCAGGCATAGGTTGGTAATTAGCAATTGGCCCAAAATAAAATGGGTGTCCAAACCGCAGGCAGCTTATTGTTCTGCCTCGAGGACCACACATGCATACTTGTACATACATACATACTTGTACAAATGTGTACGAGTCCTCGTATGAGCTCGAAAAGAGCTACATTGCGTGCATATTGATTTTTGCGGTTGGCTGATGCACCGAATAGCTAGCGAAATGAGTTTTAACCACAGCCCAAATGCACATTGGCTCTAAAGTCGACGTGAATGGGACAATGGGATGTGAAAGAATGAGTTATCGTTAAAAATTTAAGGCCTACATATAGGAGGGTTGTTCGCACATAAAAACGTGCCTACTGGCTGTTTTAAATAAATTGTGAGGGATTCTTTTGTCTGCGGACTTAAGACTGGCCACCAAAGATTTGCTACCAAACTGTTCAAACAGTTTACAAACTTTCGCATTAAAAAAAGGGTTCAAATAACCTGCGGGTGATACAGTTGGATGAGAATAAGTTATGCATTCTACTCAAAACAAGTTTTGCCAACTAGTGGCCATCAAAAAAGTGGTTGAACTGTGCATCCCAATGGTCCTTGCCACATTTAGGTCTTCAGATATCATCGCAGGAAAATAAATAGTGCAAACGTCAAAGTTTTCAGTTGCCTCAAAAGAAAGTTTAAATGTGAAACTCATTGCGTGAGCAATGGTCCTGTGGACAGAGCCCCTTGAAAAGCAGCTGAACTAATTAAAAATCGACAAATTCTCTTTTATTTTTGTGTTTACAAGTATGTTGCTTATATTTATTAAAGAGCTAAAGGTAACAAATTTGACCCTTCAAGCTATCCAACTAAGAATTTTATATTCTTCAAACCTACGTAAGAGGTCAGAGGACAATGAGCCAAGCAAAAGTGCCACAGATAGGCAAGAATAGAATGAAGGTTTTGCGAAATTTTTATCTAAGTATCCACCAGATGTTGGTTTGATTCCTATCCCACATGATAGTCCGACATTCAATGAAGACACAACTGTTGATAATTGTTTGATTATCGCCTTGAAAACGCTGCTTCAAAGTCGACTATGTCCCCCAAACAGCTGGAAGCGCTTCTTAAAAACCAAAACCCAGTCTAGCCGTACCATCACGCCGAGGAAACCCATCGATATAACATTGTAGTAGGTGCCAAATGTTGGCACAAAACCCATGGACACAAAGCTCTAGGCGGCAGCAAACCCTACCCTATTCGAGTGTTGTCTTATTGGCGAAATAGACAGGAGATTAAAGGGTGAATCTTAAAGCTGAAGCAGGTGGGACCTGCGTCCATCCAGCAAACTCCCAGTCTACAGGTAACGAATCAGAAGTGGAGTCTAAGCTGATTCTGTGAGTCAAGCTTTCCCTGTTGTGACCACTCACCAGTCCGACAAACTCGCGTTGGAAAACCACGATGCAAACAATACAAGGAGACTTTCGTGCCTCCCGTTGAGAATGGGGCACGCCATCATTCCTAGCCATCACCATCCCAAAATTTGATAAAACATATCCGACTTGGTTAGGCATTGTTATGTTAAAATTGTTGTTGTTGTGTTTTGAAAAAACGAAAGGCAGACAGTCAGGGCTAGATCGACTAGTCTTGTGATGCGGATCAAGAACATTTATACTTCCCGGAGTCTGCCACGCCTCCTTCTGCCTGTTACATTTTTCATCTCCTGCAAACCTAAAACATATACTCTTGTACATTTCATGTTTAAAGTTAACAAATTAGTATTATTTATGAGGATATTTAAAGCGAATTGCAAACTGAGAATGTTGCCAATCCTGATGACTTTACATGGCAAATATATTACGGAAATGAAATCATTGTGTACATTTCTGAAAACCTATTCCCTTTTCGTCACGACCTTACTATTTTTTAAATCCTTCTCTAAGCTCGTCTTGTGTTTTAGTTCTACGTCCTTTGTGCACAAGAAAAAGAAAAAGTATGTATACAGAATTTGTGTGTTTCTGTCCCAAAGAAAATATTTTTCATTTCCTTTTGAAACAATGAGAAGATATAAGAAGATTTTCATTTGTTTGTGGCTTGCTTAAAAGAAAGGCTTCGAAGTCCTTTCTCTTTTACTTTCATTATTTCTCAAATCGAGCAAGCCACAAAATAATTGTTGGTTTTGAGATTAGAAAATAAATAAATACAAGCTTTGAGAATCCAAATCTCGTAGACACTTTTATAATTAATGGAAATTGATGGCCATAGTGCTTATTGCTTTACAAACATGCAACTACCAATGTCGCTTGTGAAACCAGTAGCTCTCCTTTTCAC